CAGCTCTTTAGACTCTTGAAAGAAAGTTAACACTGTGCAGAAGTTGGTCTAAGCAGAAGCCATCCACCTACAACTTTGGCAAAGTCAAGAATAAAAATGTGACCCTTTTGGAAGAAAAATATCAGGCTAAGAACATGCATGTTTCCACTTTATTGTACAAACAAAAGTGGTAACTGTTCTTTAAAAATGCCAGAAGCTCAATATTCCAGAACGAGCTTGACTAGCACACATGTTCTATGCAGGGAAAGCCACGCTTGGTTCTAGTAGACCATTACACAGATCTGAGCCCTTTATAACCTTTTAACAAGAGTCTGATGCAAGAGCCATGCCAAATAAAAGGCAGCGGTCAAAATTCCTGTAATGTGCTCAATTGCTCACATGTGCGGCAACTTGAAACAGCTAAAGCCCTGTGCAGGTGCATGTTTTTAAACAGCCTGAACCATGAGCCTGGCACTGTGTTCTTCTTGAAGCAGGGGGAGTGTACACAACAAGCCCAAGGCAAAGCATTGCCCTGATTTTCTTGCTATCCTCCACCAAGAACCCCTTTTACTGGGGTTTAGAGTACAAAGAAATGCCAACAGGTGGAGTACATCTTTAAAAGCTGAAGAAGCTAATAACTCCGGCCATGAGCAGCTTCAAAACAAGCACACTCCCTCTAGTGGCTCTGGCTGTTGGGAGAACTCTTGATACAAGTATAATAGTACTGTTCTAAAAAAAATGGAGGGTGTTTCGACTGTATGAAAAAGGGATATATTTTAGAGCCTTAAGAAACAACCCGGAAATTCCACACTGCATTGCGGGGCTGCAAGTAAAAGGGTGGGGCGAGGGCAGCTGCATTAGCACACAGCAGGTCCAGTAAAGGACTCTTCAAAATAGGTATATAGGTCTTTGCATCTGCTACATTTTAGTTGAAGAGTCTTCCCGGCACAAAACCACCTTCCTGACTATATCCAGGGACCTTGACGGATGGCACCAAAGGGTCTCAGCTGTTTGTGACCTTTTCGGATCTGGAGCTCTGCGGTGGGAAGGCATTAAGAATTATTATTATTATTTATTAAGTTTATTGGCGTGCTCTGGTCCATGGAGTCACGAAGAGTCGGACACAACTAAACAGCAAGTTTGTATACTACCCTATACCCGCAGGTTTCAGGGCGGTTTGCAAGATGAAATCGCAAGATTTCAAGATGAAATCTTGCAAGATGAAATCGCAATATAAAAACACAAAATACATAATAAAAATTAAGAAGATGTGATTTAATTTGTAGATGATGCTCTGTAGTTCTATCTAGCTAGGTAAAGGTAAAGGTTAAGAGACCCCTGACCATTAGATCCAGTAATGGCCAACTCTGGGGTTGCGGTGCTCATCTCGCTTTATTGGCCGAGGGAGCCGGTGTACAGCTTCCAGTCATGTGGCCAGCATTACTAAGCTGCTTCTGGCGAACCAGAGCAGTGCACAGAAACACTGTTTACCTTTCCGCCGGAGTGGTACCTATTTATCTACTTGCACTTTGAGGTGCTTTCGAACTGCTAGGTTGGCAGGAGCAGGAACCGAGCAACGGGAGCTCACCCCATCGCGGGGATTCGAACCGCCGACCTTCTGATTGGCAAGTCCTAGACTCTGTGGTTTAACCCACAGCGCCACTCGCGTCCCTATCTACCTAGGTAGCTCCTTTAAATGTCCTCATTGATGCCCTTCTGCAAGAAATAGCTGCTGAAGAAGCCTAATGCTCCACTAGATTGACAGCACAGCACCTTAGGCATTGCTCTGCCAAGGTCAAGTCCTTTGTTTCTCAGAGCCCCTTGTTATTCTTGAAGAGTCTAGTCTACTGACCCCTACATTGTCCTCAGCATCCCATTGGTGGCTTATGGCAGTAGAGCACCCTCTGGTTTCCTCTCTTCCAGTGCCATTCGCTGTCTCTCCTGTTCCATCTGCCACTCTCTCACCCAGACAGCAGCCATCTACCCTCCATGATTCTTCAAGCTGCTTGATCCTGGTCTCGTGGCTGTTGCCCCGCTCCCCTTTCATAATTGCTGCAATAGCCTTTCTTCTCTGCCTCTCACACTGCTTGCCCCAGAAGCCATGGTTGGTGGAGTTAATCTTATGTTCCCTAAATTCCGACAGCTCCATCCTCCACAGCCCACCCGGTCTTTCCACTTTCCAATCTAGTTCGCTCTGCATGACTCTGCTCCTCTCTGCAGCTCTCCAAGCTGTTTTCAAGCCATGGGGAACAATAAAAGCTATGGGAGGTTTTTCGTTACTGAATGTGTAACACTCACACTTTGCTACAAAATGCAGGGCTAACTCCACACTCATTCACTAATGATCTTTATTTTTGCTATAAGCCACATTCTATGCTTTTGGTGTGGGTGCAAGAGGTTTCGCGTGTGCACTTAAAACTACAAAGTATAAAATCATTTATTTATTTAATTATGCATTAAAACACCAGGACAGCTTGCAATGCATCAGTTCACATTCAACCATCAGAACACTAAATAAACCATTAAAATTCAGTGGCACCTCGGATTCCAGACGCTTCAGGTTACAGACTCCACTAACCCAGAAACAGTACCTCGGGTTAAGAACTTTGCTTCAGGATGAGTCAGAAATCGTGCTCCGGCGGTGCGGCAGCGGCAGGAGGCCCCATTAGCTAAAGTGGGGCTTCAGGTTAAGAACAGTTTCAGGTTAAGAACGGACCTCCGGAACGAATTAAGTACTTAACCCGAGGTACCACTGTAATGTTCAAAACTGTCAGGGTTAACAACCACATGCATCATATGGGCACATTCGTTAGAGATGGTGGGGGGAATTCACTTCCGCCCCCTATCAAGTGAACACTCAGTACAAAACCAGGTAATGGGTGATGTCAGAAGTCCTGGTTATCTGCGAGGAGACTTGCTTCTGAGCTGTATTTCACTAAAGGTCCTAAGCTATCACGCTTTCCGGGCATTTTGTGTGATTGAAATAAAAGGAAATATACCCAACAACATATAATGTGCAGAAAAATTGCTCTCCTGACATTAGTTTGTAGGGGGCTGAAGATAAAAAGGAGTAACACTTCCTGGTTAAGATAAAACAGCATCATCACCCTAGGCAGAAAGCGTGGGATGAGTCCTAAGCTGTGAATTATCTGAGTGGAAGATCAAGCAGGCTGGTTTGCATAGGAATGCATAAGAGCTCTCCATTTCTTAGCTCAACTAGCTGCAGGTCTTTAATGCAGAAGGATTATTCTATGTGGTTGGAGGCACATCTGGGGATCTGACTTAGTTCTGTGCAGGAGTCTATCCAGGAGCAGACAGTTCGAGAGACTGAAACGACTGCATTGTAATAGACTCGAGGCAACAGTTTCAAAGTAAGGTGCCACTTAAAACTGAAGGATATCATATAGTCCATTCTTTCAGGTAACAATGTAAATATCTCACACATTAAGACAGTTATACAGTGGTACCTCAGGTTACATACGCTTCAGGTTACATATGCTTCAGGTTACACACTCCGCTAACCAGAAATAGTGCTTCAGGTTAAGAACTTTACTTCAGGATAAGAACAGAAATCGTGCTCTGGCGGCACAGCGGCAGCAGGAGGCCCCATTAGCTAAAGTGGTGCTTTAGGTTAAGAACAGTTTCAGGTTAAGAACAGACCTCCTGAACGAATTAAGTACTTAACCCAAGGTACCACTGTATGAGATATGCTGTATAAAGTAATCTTGTATACAAAACACTCCTCCATGCAGATATATGCATGTCTAACCTCCTCACATAATGAAGAATTTACAGAATACTCAAGGGTTAAAAGTGTGGCCTTTACTGTACCAACTTCATGGTGAGTACCAACACCATTTTTTTCTTTTAGAAAAGCACTGAATAGGGCCACCCCAGTGGAGACCATGCAATTGGAGACTAGCGCAATGCACGATCACTATGCAAACACGATATCCAACGCATGGACATGGAAGCATGGTAGTGAAATCTTGATTACTCCTCTCCCTCACAAATCGTTAGAAACACACATAGGGTTTATACCAGGCATCTCAAAGATGTTATTCAGGCCGGTATACACTCCTTTTGTACAGTCACAGATGTTTCAAAGAGGAAGAAGATAAAACATTGTATCCTCTCACTAAATTCATAGGTGAATCATTTGCAGTTATTTTTCTAGACCATTTCCTACGGCAAGTTTATTGTGCACGTTGGACAGATGTCTTCTGGGAAAGGAAGATTTGCCCTACTCATGTCATGTTTTACCAAACAGGCTAAGTAAAAGTCAGGGGATTGTTGCATTTTAAAGAGAAGTCTCCTTACTGGTTTCTCCCTCGCTTTGATTTCTCTCTCATGTGAAAAGTAGAAAGCTAAGCATTAAATCTACAGAAAATACCCCCCCCCCCTTTACTAGCTTGCCTGCACCAAACATTAATGAAAGCATTAAAATAAGACACTTTTTTGGGGGGGGTGTAAAGCCTGTTTTACTTGGAAAAGATTCTTACTTGAAATAAGACTACCAAGCAAACGGCCAATTCAAAGGAAACCTGCAATTTAGAAAAGCTGAGCAAAGCAGTATGAAAATGTTGATCATCACTTAGCACACTTACTGGATTGCGTTGTCATCTGAAGCAAACTGTCAACGGCGTTGGAAAGAACACCTTTACTCGATATTCTTATATGACTCAAGATAATAGGTACAGCTTGGTAGTCCAAAAACAAGGCCTTCCCTTCATCCGTCTTCAGATCCACGCAAAGGGAATCAAAGGCTTGAGCCAGGTAATCAGCTAGAATATGCATTAGAATTTAAAACATAAAACTGCACCACTATTTTGGGTCACTTGTCAAACAAGCTAGGCAAAAGAGGCTGCTATACAATACGCATATAATGAGATATCAAAAACAAAATGTCTTTATAGTGTGTTGCTTATTTAATGCCTAGCCTCGTTCATTCTTTTTTTTTTTTACTAGAAGAAAATCATATTTACAACTCATATTTTATTAAATCAAATAACCATAAAATGTTCCATTTTTCACATTTGCTGTCCTTACAATGTTTATTATTATTTTAAATAAATTTTATTAGTTTATAAAAAGAGATTCAAAACTTAATGCCAAATATCTTTTTTAGAATCCAACATTAATCTAAATACAATAAAAACATAGAGAAAAGGGGTGGGGTGGGGGGAATCATTAGAATCAAAAACTTTTGCTCATTCCTGACTATCCCTCTTGACCATTTTAGACACAACCTAGGGCCCAGAGATCTCCACAGACTTGTAACATGTTTGTATTCAGATTTAATTTTAACCAGATTATTTTTTAAAAGAAAAAAACATTCTATAAATTTTTAAGAATCCAATTAAAAAAACCAAACCACCCCTTGGTTTCAAAAATAAAACCGGTTTCTATCTACTCTGATAGAAAATAATAGCAGCATGTCAGGGAACTGCCATCAGCTCAGAGGCGGGAGGTGGAAGGGCAGTTGGGTTATAGGGAGCCTCCGAAGATCGTGAGAAGCAGCTCGTCCTCCGGGGAGGAGCGAAGCCACGCCTCCAGTGAGGAAGGGATGCAGGGCTCGGAAGATGCAAGAGACAGCCGCAACACCGAGCCTGAGCAAAGTGGGGGGGAGGCAGGTCCCCCTTTGCCCATGCCCTCTCTGCGCAGAAGGCTTATGTGCAGAGAGGGGAGGCGTAGGATGGGGGTCAAAAAACTGCTCTGCTGGGGCAAGTTTAAGGACCGCCCACTCCCAGATTCTGCTAGCGACTGAGCAGACATGGAATTGAGTCAATCTGCATTGTGAACGTTTGGGACAGATAATAAAGCCTTGAAAATACCAACAGGGAGTCTTGCCTGATTGCTCTCGAGCAACCACGCTGGCACACATAACACAGCACATACAGGAAACAATCATTGTCAGTGAAGCCAGAAGGCCCTATAGCACCCATGTTGTGCCCTTTTGGATTTACCTATTTAGATTTATGTAACAGAAGCCGAGTTGTTGTTGTTTATGAAGACAAAGTTCATAAAGCCTTGACCTTGCCTAGCATTCACAGTGCTGAACGCTTCTCACTAGCTTGGAACCTAAACCTACACAAAGAAATGATTTCTCCAAATTTGAAGGTTAAATGCTAACTTTAGTAACATTCAGTTATAAACAAGGTGTTAGTGGCATTAATTTCCTCTGAATATCTTCTGCTGTGCAGCTTTATCCAACAATTCAAGGAATAGCATTGCTTTGTGCTGGATGGCCCCAAATTTTAGTGAAACAAGAGCAAAGATGCATTTACTAACTAGCTATATAAATCCCAACCACATTTTTTTTTTGGGGGGGGTAAATCAATTATTGCATTCATGTTCAAACACTACTAACTGAGTTTAAAAACATTTTAAGCCCCCTTTAATTTCCCAATGATTTGCCTGAGAAAAGGTTTCCTTTGCTATTTTTGGTATGTTGGCATTCTATCAAAAGTAAATATCGGAGATTTCAGGTAATGATAATAAACCATAGTAACACTTATTCTACTGCGTTAAAGGATTATTACATAAACTGAATCATGCCTGAACTTACAAAACCTTAATTAGGATGCCCCTACTGCATTGTGACTTTAAAGCAAAAAACATTACTTACAAACCATCTAGAATTATGTACCAATCTATGCTAGCATTTTTATATTGTATATTCATTCTTACTTTATCTACAGATTTAGTAGACACTAAAATAAGATGGCAGAGAATTGTTCCTGCATATTAAATGTTTTTAGGTGTAACTATAACCATCTTAGAAACCAAGTTTTATTTTGTAGAAAGGTGAAGAGGTGTGGGAAAGTATTCCTTGCCAAAATTTCATTTTGTCCTTGGCAGGAGTGCAGAATCTGTAGCCTCCATGTGTTGTTCACACCGCCAATCAGTCCCAGCTAGCCATTGGCCAGGGCTTATGGGAGTTTGTAGTCCAACACTGCCTGGAAGGCTACAGGTTTGCCATCCCTTGTCTTGAGTATACCTAGGGAGAAATCAATGACTACAGATCACCGATACGTTATTAGTAATATGTTTGTGACAAATAGTTTTCAGTGGCTTCAGAATGGCAAGCCGAACTGAACAGTATTACAGATTCTTAAGGTGTGGGGACTGTTAACTTTCCATGCCCTAAGGATCTAGCACAGGGGGTGGGAGAGATGGATCTGGCCTACCCACAGGCCAAATTTGAAAGGAGGGCCCTTTCAAGGACCTCTGTGTGGTGCTTTGAAGCACTGCTGATCAGCTGGTTATCGGCGCTTCAAAGAGCAGTGCAGTGCTGATCAGTTCTTTGTTAAGCCCTTTCACGGACCAGCTGGCTATGGAGTTCCACATGGGAAACTCAATTGTGTGGTCAATCCCAGGGCACTTAAACTGAGTTCCTATCAGGTGATTGGTGGAGAGGGCAAGTCAACTAGGATTGACCTATCAGTAGATTGTGCATTGGCAGGAGAGCTTTCTGCCTAAATCAGGAATGCACTTGAAGGCTCCCAACGGTGCACCGGCAGTCATGTCCCATCTGCCCCACACCTGATGTCTGAGGAAAATGGCCTCTCAGGCCAAATTGGGACCTATGCCAGGTCTACTTAGGCACACAGGCCAGAGCTTCCCACTCCTATTGTTTCCTGGTTATGGAAGTAAGTTCAAACACATGCAGACAGTGACTACCAAAATATTCCAGTATTCATAGGATGAAGCTTCTCCATTACATACAGAAGCACCACTCACTCAGTGCCGCTAACCACATCTCTACAATCACTCGCGCCAACTGCTTATCCCACTATCTTATCCTGATCTCCCTCCCACTCATCATTTGCTTGTTTCTTCCAAAACTTTTTTTAAAAATCCAAATTCTATTAAACACTAATGTGGGTGATCATTGAAATTTAATCATGCCTACAAACAGTGGCGCTGTGGGTTAAACCACTGTGCCGCTTGGGCTTGCCGGTCAAAAGGTCAGCGGTTCGAATCCCTATGAACGGGGTGAGCTTCCGTTGGCTTGGTCCCAGCTCCTACCAACCTAGCAGCTCGAAAGCACACAGTGCAAGTAGATAAATAGGTACCACTCTGGTGGGAAGGTAAACGGCGTTTCCATGCGCTGCTCTGGTTTTTGCCAGAAGTGGCTTAGTCATGCTGGCCACATGACCTGGAAAAACTTGTCTGCGGAAGCGGACAAACACCGGCTCCCTCGGCCTATAAAGCAAGATGAGTGCCACAACCCCAGAGTCATTCGCAACTGGACTTAATTGTTAGGGGTCCCTTTACCTTTTACATACAGCACAAACACAATGGCTTTGACTGCTGCAAGATGTGATGATAACCAATGGCTTTAAAAAATGGGGGATAAAATAAACTCTTGGGAGGACAGATCTAACAATGAATATTCGCCAGAGCTTCCCGGTTCAGAGGCACTATCTTGCTAAATGTCACTTGCTGGGAAACAACAGCTTTTGCTGTTCAAGCTCCGCTTGCAGGTCTTCCAAGAGGCATGTGGTGGAAAACCAGATTCTGGACTAACTGACCTTTGGTCTGATCCAGCAGAACTGCCCTTATACTGTATGTTTATGTTTCTGGCCCTCTTGGGCTGCCAAACATGCAAAAATATAGAAGTTTAACTCTGCAGACAGAACTAGCCATTACCCCTTAAAATGCATATTGAAATACTTTAGCCCCCACTCCATTTTTTAAAATCAAGTTTCTTTAACCTACAGGCTTTTAAAGAATGATGGGTGAAGTGATTTCCTGTGGTTTTGACACTGCTGGTTAGGCCATATGTTTGTGAGAATGGCTTTGATGTTTTGAACTGCCCTATTCTGACATAAGCGCCCTGTAACCAAGCTGATGGAGGGTGGTACAGAAATATCTTAATAAATAAATCAAATTTACTTCACGGGTCAGTCAGTCGGAACAAGAATCTTTCTGTAGTTTGCTGTTTAAGTGTGGTTGGAGACCCCATATGCTGCATGCAGACCTCAAAAGCATTGGTAGAACTTACCTTGCGTCACTGTTTTGATTATAATTAAGGTTGATACAAGTCTTAAAGGCAAATTGGAGCTTTTAAAGAATGCTGCGGACTTTGGCTTGGGATCGGTAGTATGTTCAGGAGAAATATATTGACATCCCTTCGGCACAACACCTTTAAACAGGTCTTCACCCAGTCTTCTCATTGTTGATGTCATTGTTGCATACTGTTATACAAGCAATAAAACTGTATGAAGTGAACATAGCATTCCACTAGATAAATGCAAACGTCATTTAATTTACTCTGAACAAGTCTCATCAACATTATTCATGTTTTAAATGCTTTACATCTGAGACGTATTGTCCAGATGGAAAAAGGAATATCAAAGTACACCAAGCAATATGTGAGCACCATATTATAAGCCACTATGCAGAAGGCTGTCTCTTCCTGACTGACATTCACTTCAGATAGCAAGAGCACCCAGAGAAGAACACTCGCAGATGATCTATAAAGCAGATTCCAACAAAAACTGAAATAGGTGTATAAAAAAGCCTATTATATAAAAGAATAACATGTTATAACTGACTTCAATGGAATGCAGCTTTATCCTGGCCATGAATGCATTTCACGGAAGTAAGGTGCGTTAAAACCCAGAAAAGGTTATGTGGTTAAATCTAGAATTCTAGCTTTTCCTGCAATATCAGATCTTGATTTTGGCATCCTATTCACAATAAAATAAGAATCTTCTACCTAGCAGAAGAATTGCGAACGCAAGTACATTAGTACTGAAAGCAATTTACCCAACATATAAATGATAATAAATAACAACTCCGGGTCAAATTCAGATCAAGTAAAACATTGGACCTTCCACAGAGAAGCAGTGTTAAATGCAAATGAACTACTTTGCATGAATACTTCTTACCTGTGTGCCTCCATCTAACTGCCTGATAGCCCAGTAAATGAATTTAACCACATGCATGTGCAAGTCAGGATTCACAAAGGGCATCCACTGAAACTGTTCAGCAACTAGAGGCAAAAACTGGAAAACACAAATATATCATTACTGTCTTTTTTTCTCTTTCCAAAATTTGGGTCCTACCGATAGATCCTATTTGCGAGCTATTTCCAGTGGATATTTTTCCTGTGATGCTTCGTAATCTCACATGAAAATCACCTAAGCAAAAGACAAAACCAGCAACATGGTTGGCTGACTAGCACCATGAATGTTGCTTTACTTCCAAGAATGTGCCTTGCTTAGTAATTCAGACAAATTCAATGCTGTTGTCAATGCTAATATTGCTACCTTTAAATTCTGGAATTCTGAAAAAGACAATACTGTAAAAAATATTTTTTTGCAGAAACTTCCAATTTTTTTTACTAGTGGGGAAAAACCCCAATCCTGTCCTCTCTCTATACTCCTTGGAGTGCACAAACAAGGCATGCAAGCAGCAGCTGCTATTTGTCCCCAGCATCTTACATGCCTCTGAACACAGAAGTATCAGTTAGCTATCATTAATATCACAATAAAGGCTTTTGAGTACATTAGCAATGTAGGGGAAAGCTGCACAGGTTGAAGGAGATGGTGTAGTCAAATGGCATATACAGGCTATTGTGGCAACACACTACCCAATGTGGTTGGAGAGTGCCATCTGGGAGGGGCCCAGTGAGCAACAGAAGCATATAGAAACTCTTGTAGGCAGCATTTATTTACATGGGAGAGCTCAAGGACGGCTCTTATGGGCTTCTGTTAGGCACCACCAGCAAGGGCAGCAATTGGGAGCAATTGAGCAACTCTGTTACCTTTGGTGATGTTTCCAAAGCACAACTAGGGAAGAAAAAGCACCGCCAGTTCCAGAGTGTGGGTGCTACTGACTCCAGGTGTTTTCTCCATGCCGAGGTGTGAACAAGGAACAACATGTCAGCCAACAGCTGTTGGAATAGGAGCCTTGTAGGCACCTACCCAAAGCAAGTAGGAACAAGCTCGACATCAGCTACATCAGACAGAATTCTAGGATCACACACTACATTGTAGGTGTATTCATGCCACATCTAATCACTACTTTGCCATGATAAATCATAACACTTGTGCTTGGATTGCTTTTTAATAGCCCATCGAGGGGATAGTCTAACCTCTCGGTTAGATTACGGCAATGCGTTATATGTGGGGTCACCTCTGAAGACAGTTCAGAAGCTTCAGCCGGTGCAGAAGTCAGTGGCCAGGTTGCTCACCAGGGAAAGACAGTTTAAGTATATAATAATGCCAATTCTGGCCTGACTGCACTGGCTGCCAATTAGTTTCCAGGCCCAATTTCAAAGAGCTGGTTTTGACCTATAAAGCCTTTAACAGTTCAGGAGTGCCTCTCCCCATATAAACCAACCTGGACCATGCAATCATGACCTCCAGGTATAGGGCTGTATATAAATTCAATAAATAACAGCAACAACAACTGGAGGCCCTTCTTTGTGTGCCTTCTCCACAAGGTCCAGAGGATGTCAACACAAGAGCGGTCCTTTTCTGAAGTGGCTCCCCATATGTGGAATGCTCTCCCCAGGGAGGCTCGCCTGGTGCCTTCATTATACACCTTTAGGCGCCAGGCAAAGGCATTCCTCTTCTCCCAGGCCACTGGCTAATTTAAAAGGCCTGTAACCTTTTAAACTGTGTTTGGGGTGGGGTGCTTCTGTTTGTTACGATGGTAGGTATTTTTGTGTTTTTACTGTATATTGTAAACTGCCCTGTGATCCTCGGATGAAGGGTGGTATAGAAATCTAATTAATCTGGGATTATAGGAAGCGATTGATAGAGTAACACTAATGCAGGGAATGGGGATTCTATTCTGGGCAGCAGATCTCTATGCATGCATTTGAACTACTGTATCTGGAACAGATTGCTGGATCAGATGCTAATGTTTATTTAAATGGAGATTGCAAAAGCCAGTTAATGAAGTATTTATTGCAGTTAAGATTTTTCCAACTACAACGGAAGGACCCAACATTCCACATGCTCACAAATGTGTTCCTCTGACAAACAGTATGTCTGAAGTTGTTCCGACATTAATAGGCTTTAAATAGTTTCTGTATGAAACCTGGTAGATAGAACACATGTCCCACATGTGTACAGAATTAACATTAGATGTCAGTCACACTGTGTCCATTAAGGCTAACTCTAGGTAAGTGTTTAGGATTGGAGCTTAAAGATACACAAAATACCTTTGTTTTGTAATTTTATATCACCTTCTACTTGGAAAAAAAAAGTATTATATTCAACATTAGCCCCCTGTAAAGGCCCTGTAATTAATGTGTGTGACTAAGTACTCTTAGTATGACTAACTTTGGATACAACCTTTATAGGTTTATACAATGATATGAAAGCATTAATCAGAGTGGCCTGGATAGCATCCAAATCAAGATAAGCAACGTTTGTATATATGGAAATGCTGTGATCATACATAAGGTTATATCACAGACTGCACCCTGCGAACCTGAATAGCTCAGGTTTGGAGAGCACATGGCTCAGTATTATGAAAATGAACACGAATTCTGGGGCCTACAGCATTGTTAGACACACATCCAAATATAATACAAGCCGTTTTACTGTAAAACAAGATGTAGGAAGGAGGAACCCTACCCTGATACACTTCTCCTGTGTGTAGTAGTTCTGCTGGAAGCAAGCACGCCTGTCAGAAGACATTCAGAAGCTTTCTCTTCCTCTGCTACCAGTTTGCTCAGGTGCTGATCTGAGATCCAGTCCATTAACACCGTTAAAAGGTCATATATGTGTGAATTAATTGGTATCTGCAAACATAAGAGTGAATCTCTTAGGGCACAATTTGAAGAAGTTCTTTACTATGAGATAGCTATCTAAAGCGTGCATTGACTTGTGCTGTCTGCACTGCAACACACATCTGACTTGCATCAAGGGCACTGAGAGCATATGCAAATCTGCCTGGGGATAATGGTGATGTACTGGTTTGAAGAAGGGGAAAGTTACTCCATTTCAGTATCATATACATGGATGAGAATTCCTGTAGGATTGACACTGGGAGGGCAAGTATTTTTTTTTACATTTCTAAACACATTTCTGGTACCTTCCTCTGTTGAGGTATGTCATTTTTCTTTTTTGGGGAGGGGGGATTCTTCTCATTACAAGTTCCTTCTTTTCAGAAATCCATTTTTTGCCTTTTCAGTTTCAATTAACCCCGGCCAGTGTCTTCTCAGAAACTAAATATAACCCAAGCTTATTGGAATGGGAGACATATTTGGAAAGAATATTTTCAAGAGTACAGTGGTACCTCGGGTTAAGAACTTAATTTGTTCCGGAGGTCCGTTCTTAACCTGAAACTGTTCTTAACCTGAAGCACCACTTTAGCTAATGGGGCCTACCGCTGCTGCAGTGCCACTAGAGCACAATTTCTGTTCTCATCCTGAAGCAAAGTTCTTAACCTAATTTCTGGGTTAGCGGAGTATGTAACCTGAAGTGTCTGTAGCCTGAAGCGTATGTAACCTGAGGTACCACTGTACTATTTACCCTACAACTCCCCTCTCAATAAAATATAGCAGTTCCAAACCAACATGTCCTTGTGCATGCAAGAGAAAGAGAAAATGAACTTGTAAAATCTGGAACTGATTACTGAAAAAATATTGACTTACAGACTTAGAGAAAATAAAATGGTTGGGTGTTGATGAGTGAATTCTATAATTAGATGATGATGATGAAGATGATGATAATTTATTATTTATACTCCGCGCATCTGGCTGGGTTTCCCCAGTCACTCTGGGCAGCTCCCAACAGAACTAAAAGCACTATAAAACATCAAAGGTGCAGGACAGAGAACCAGAAGTCTTTTTATATTTGGTCAGGGCTCAGCCTGACTCCCCTTCCCTTTTTGGATAAGAATTAGTACGAAAGAGGCCTCCCAGCATTCTCACAGGCCCATATAAGATCAGCATACACAGTTGGGCCTGATGAGAATTTACTGTTCCCAACCCAAATCCTGCGGAAAGCCATCTAATTCAGATTTTAATTTAATCCTGACTTGTTTTTAAGAGGTGATTTAATTATTGTTTGATTTTATATCAATGTTTATATTTGATGTTAGCCGCCCTGAGCCTGGTCTTGGCCGGGGAGGGCGGGATACAAATAAAAGTTGTTTATTATTCTTATTCATTTTTTCTCTTTCTCTCTCCTTTCGCTTTTCCTTCCTTCCTTCATTTCCCCTTTTCCTTCTTTCTGCCTCCATTCCTTTATAGATTAAGCATTTCTTTTACTTCAGTGTATTATAAAAAGATACTTTGTATTGAGGATGAACTTTTGTTTCTCTTTGGACAAGTATCAATAAATATAGATAAATATAGATATGCAGGTTTTGGTGTCCTCGGGTGTCTTCCCGTGTAAAAGTTGGGGTGTCTAGGCGACGTTTCGACGAGGTCTCACTCGTCACCCCAACTTTTACACGGGAAGACACCCGAGGACACCAAAACCTGCATTCCTGTACCCGTGAAAATCTACGAAAGCAAATATAGATATATATATATACATTTATCAATATAGATATATAGAATTCCCCTTTCCCCCTATAGTGTACAGCTTACTTTGTAACTTTTTGACGTTATTGTTTTTTTTCTG